ATATATATATATATATATATATATATATATATATATATATATATATATATATATATATATATATATATATATATACACACACACACACATATATATATATATATATATATATATATATATATATATATATATATATATATATATATATATATATATATATATATATATATATATATATATATGTGTGTGTGTGTGTGATGAAAATCTGACTTTACCTAAACTGATGAATCACATTTAAGATAATTTTCTGGTTTCAGAATGAGCTTCCTGGTTCAAGGAATCTAAGCTACACAGCAATATATTCTGTAATTTTGCAATTTTAAGAAAAGATGATATCTGAGACATTTAAGTCCTTCACTTGAACATCTGTGAGGTGTGGTAAAGATAAGATGATTTTAAAATGAGCCAGGTGCCCCAGCATGAGAAAAAAAATAACAAATGGGGTTTAATGCATTTACACCATGAAGGTCATTATTCCTTAGTTTACTTCATTAGTTTGACTCATGAATCATGAAGCAGGAGGATTAATGTCATTGAAACTTTTTTTCATATTTTGTCACATTGCAACCACAAAGTTCAGTTTATATTAATGGGATTTTATATTTATAAATCCTCCTCCCTTCACAACCTGTCCTACTATATTTACAAAATTTTAAGTCAAGAATTTCACATGGCACTATTGTAAATAAAGTAGATGCATAAGAATTGTTTAACTAATAGTGTTTATTTCTCATTTAAAAGCATTTTCACAGTCCATATATATTTTTCACAAAATACCTGTAGTGAGAAAGTTTTTTTCAAACAACAAACATAAATTCTGATCGTGACAAACAATATTCAAGCTAATTATAGTAAATATCACAAAAAAAAAACACAAACATGTATACTATCTTTTCACAGGTTAAAGCAGTTCTAATTCATACAGGTCTACTTCATGCAAAACATAAAAGAAGCTGCTGAAGGTTTCCAAAGAAAAATGTAGCATTTAAAATCAGAGAAATAAAAATGTAACAGCCACTGTAGTACCAGGCTACTTCTGTAAGAGGGCGCTATAGATGTTTCAAAACAAATAACTGGCCTGGATTTTTCCTCCAGTAGTGGTTTCAGTCACCAATTCAGCACAATCTGTATGCAGAACAGAGAGGAAGACATAAAATCCTGATCGTTATGAATCAGTGACGAAAGTAAAAAAACATTTAAGCAAACAAGATTACACAGGATTATACTTGTGTAATCAGGATGTATATCTTAAAAAGATATAAATCTTAAAACGATATAATCCTGAAAGGAATTTTCTGCTGCTCACCTTTTTTGTTAATTCCGAAACCAACCAATTACAAAGGAACAGACGCCCTGCAGGGACCTCCAGCAGTACTGCTGAGCCATTCTCCTCCGGGCGCTCTCAGTCGGAGCTGCCGTCGGCTGTGATTTGGCTCTCTGTGTGGTTTTAACTTTCCCTGGAGCCCGAGATGTTTTAAAAGGTGTCTTCATTGTCAAATTAGGTCTTCCATGGGCAGCTGAACTTTGGGGTTTTCCAGGTTGCTTTGATGGCTGCGCTGCTGGCCGAGACCTTAGGAAAGGACCGGCCGAGAAGTTCATCCGAGATTCATCAGTCGCCTTCCTGCACATGTGAGGTTTGATCTCTTTAGGACCCTGACAGCCGTGTGCTTGCTTCCTGAGGACCCACATCATCTGGATGAAGTAGTGCCTGGGGTTTTTGTTGAAAGCACTGCAGGTGTAAGGTCTCCCCACATACTCACACCAGTAGGCACGTCTGTTTCCCAAGCATGACAGCCTCAGTTTTATGTTTTCTCCTTGGCCTGTAAGGATCATGGTACACTTGTCCTTAGCCTTGGTTTGGAACTTGATGGGATCGTCCCAGATGCTTTGTCTCCCTTCGTCCTGTGCCTCAGCTGGCCAAAGGCAGCAGGCCAGCAGCAGAGCAGTGGCTTGGGTCCACATGGTGTCAGATAGATGAGAGTGGAACTGCTTGAGCTGAGGCTTCCTCTTGGTATTTATTGGCCAAGCAGACACACAGTAGCTTTAGGCAACAAAGCTGAGTCAGACTAAGAAAAAGTGGTTATATGGGCGGAGGAGGGAAAAGCCACGTTAGTTCCTGCTGAAATTATGTAAAGCCCACTAAGATGCAACATGGATTCTCATGTTTGATCGTTTCACATAAAAAAAAAAAAAAAAAAAAAAATTAACAAAGAGAAAGATTTTTTTTTTTTTTTTTTTACATTTACTGCCTTTACAGGTCAGTTTCACACTGGATTAATGCACTCATAAACATACATTGTCACAGTTTCCAATTTGATACATATATTTTAATAAGAAATGTGAAATCTGATAGAAAAAAGAAAGCTGAACCTCTCTTGTTTGCGTTAAGTGGCAGTTAAGGCTCATAACTGTGCAGGGTAACCTATCATTTCCCTCTAAACATAAACCCAGGACAGTGCCACAGAGAAACATGAGTACACACATGCAGGGACAAGACTAGAAAGGGAGGCAGTAATGACCATGCCAATTAAGAAAGCACAAGAAAATGTATGCAATAGGGAGGAAGGATGAAGTACATATGGCACACAGGGTCTTATATGAGATTAAAATGTTTCGACCAAAACAATTGTGTTCTTTTTTTGCAAGAACTAAAGAAAACAGAGAGCTAAATTTGATGTAATGTATTTTAACTTGATCAGAAATGCAATGATTTGTTTTCATCATCTTCAAAGTTAAGTAAATTTTTTTAGAACAAAGTGAAGGAACCCAGTGTTTGAACTAATAACATCCCAAAAGGGCAGAGTTTACAACCTACTTTAACACTAATTACCAAGTATGACGTGACTCTGACTCATCTGATACAGAACATTTAGCTGTAAACCATAATTGCATATAAATCCAGAAAGATGCAACATTTTGAGAAATCAGATTGCACTTTTAAATTATTTAAAATAACCACACCCACACAATGTTCAGTGTTTCAGTAAATAATATGAATAAAGTCAGTTCTCTCAAACTCGGCCTCTGTTTTTGACTGGTTTTCAGACAGAAAAAAGTCTGTGTGGTTTTTCTTGGAGTGTTTATTTGCATACTGCTTGGTGCCTGAGAAAACTTTGAAGCCAAGCTTATGGAAGAGGATAATAATGTCTTATTGAAATAGCTGACCGGTAAAGCAACCCACAGGGTTCTGGCTTGGCAGTACAACCATCACATTGGAATGTGCAAAGTGCTAAAGTGTGCAAAACCATCTGCTCCAATGTTACGCGCAGTTCCCATTTAGCATCAAATGTATATTAATTTCAACATATTTTCCCTTTTTTACCCTCAGAATTACATGTTTTGCCTCACAGTAAAATAGGAAAACCGACAAACTACTTTCTTTTCCATAACATGTCAAAAATATTGTTACCCCAAAATACAGATCAAGCTGAAAGAAGGTAAAGAAAGATTGGAAGAGAAAATAACTTGAAATGGAGAGTTTATTCACAATTTATACACTTTTGTCATATCCACATAAAAAACAAACATCTTCCTGGATCCATCATCGCCCAGCTGTTCAGCATCACATTTCAAACCAGCAACCCATTCATCTGATCAACCCAAAGCTACCATATATAACTAGTTTAAGCACTTAAGTTGTGAATTTGTCCCCATAAATGCATTACCAGACTCCAGCAAGGAGTAAAACTGTGATAGTCAGCATGAGCACACTGATCATCTAAAAATGTCCACCTTGAGGAAAACTAAGTTTGTAACTGAAGCAAGCAAAAAAAGAGAGCGCTGGGAAGAGACAGAGCCAATAAGTTCACATTATGGAAAAGCACAGCTGGGACATCTTAACATGGCAGTCAGTGTTTCCTTTGGAGAAATAAAATTAATGAAAATAGTGTCTAAAGTCAGTGTAGCAGAGCATAACTTGTAAACTGTTGGTACATATTTTCAGTACTTCTACTGCAAATTACAGTTATTGGCTTTATAAAAGTCAGATGTGCACAAAATCTACAAAAATGGGTTAATTTTTAATCCTTGTTATGGTAACCTAATTAGAAGTTGTTAAATGTTAGCACTCTCTTTAGTGACTTCTTAACTGACACATTGTTTTTGTTTGTTTTTATTCAAGCTCATGGGCTTTGTCTTTTAAAAACAATAGCAAACTTGGATCTAAAACGGATGTGTTGGCGTATAAAACAAATGTAATATAAAAATTATGGATAAAGTATTAAATTTAGACCAGTTTTTACCATTACAGTTAAAAAAATCTGATTTTTTTTTTTTTGATTCACATAAAAACTGACTTTTGTTAGTCTTCATATATGCATATTATATAATCTACTACCTGGTAAATTTTGATAGTTATTGTGCATTTACAGTGACAAACAAAGTCCAAATTTTGGTTGTTAAGGCAGGTATTGCTTTTTTCATAGTCCACATAAACCAGATGTGTGTAAACCATGAAAAATACTTCTTTTCAACAATCTGATTGATGGTGCTCATTTGTCCCATAAATGGATTGTCTAAGCTCTCACTGGAGAAAGCATCTGTATAGAAATATGAGAAATAGGATATGTTGATTGGCCTCCCTGATGTAACAATATCAGCATATTTCTCACTCAACCTCTACATATAATAATGATTAATGAATGAACACATTAAAAAGTTCCATGTATTCAGAAGTACTGTTTAACTAAAAAAGCAGGCAAAAAGAGTGCCACAGAAAAACTACTTAAAAATATGGAATTTGGCTTGAGAGTTAACTTTCCACTTTAAAATTATGAGGACCATAAAGCAGGAAAGACCTGAAAATAAACGCATGTGGTACATAGAGGAAATAGAAGTAGATGTTGTTTTTACTATTTTTCTCCAACTGTACTGTATTATTTAAAGTTCAACCAAAACACATCTGCTATGCATTTGGTAAGAATTTGTCATTTGGAGTTACAGTGTGGTTGTGATGGGCCTTTCTTACCATAACAAAGGAAGATAACAGGTCATATCTGCCCCTTGCTTCAAGAATTAGTGTTTTTTTCTAAACCCACTATTCAAAATAATTCTGAGATTTGGTCTTTAAAACTCCAAGTGAAGAATCGATTTAGAACAACGCACCAATCTGAATTACAAATAAATGCTAAATGTTAACACCTGACACAAGTTTAAATGGTACAGGAAGGGCATTTTAATGATGTCAGCCCCTAGATTGTTTATATTTAACATAGTAATATGGCCTTTTTTAACTGTAATGTCGTCATGGTAAAATATCTCAAAGGCAGACAGACCTCTTCAGTGTTTCTCACATATCGATGGGTCACGTTGCCCCTTTGCCATTTCATACTTTTCCAGTATTGACTTTTTCACGCTGAATAGTTGTTGTATACCAACAACAACAACTGTTGGTATGCAACATCTGTCATTGGAAGTTGCATACCAAACTTCAGTAAGGGGACATTTCATATCTAATTTGACCGATGAGCTAAAGTCATTTTTGGTATTTTGCTTCTACTGTAAGAAATGGTTTTTGTCATGTGACTCCAATGGGACAGGTCCAAACAGATATCAGAGTCAAAACCAATGAAAAAAGGGTGCAATACAATTTTTTTAAGAAATAAAATTTTATCTTTGTTATTGAACTATTCCTGAGATTTGAACAAAAGGATACAAGTAGTGTGTTTTACAGGTAAGAAACTGAAGAATTTGGGGATAAAATGGGAAAATTTGAATGAGGTTATGAATTGTCAAAGAGGGAAATTGAGCCATAGCCACCTAAAATCAACAAAACCAACATGTCTGGAAATATTGTAAACAGCTTTAAAAAAAGTCATGCTTCATTTTCTTACAAATGCTCTCCACAAGTCGTTATGCCACTGTTCACACAAAAATTTTCTCAACAGGTAAAATATCCCACATCCATGAGCTCACTTGAGCCTCAGTTAAAAAGGATGCTTTTTTTCAACAAAACAATCAGATCTTTATGAAACCTGCCTTTTGACACTCACTTTGAAAGTGCAACACCCTTTTTAACTGCAGGAAGAAAATATAACTTTCTCCAGCTTCTCTTTTCTTGAGCACAAAGTTCATAAAAACGAGCAAACACAACAGTCAATGTTATGTCCTCTCAAGGGCTTTTTCAGCTTGGTTTTGTGTCCAAACTAATGTAAACACAGACACAGCAGTCCTGGAAAATGTAGATGAAACCTGGCTCAGATTGATGCTGAGGGCTGATAAGGTTGGCGTCCTGCCGGCAGAAACCAAACTGGAGAATTTGGTCTGCATCATTGAACAAGCCGGATGTCCCGTATTCTTCTTTTGAAGTGAAGAAACCAGCGTATGTTGAGATTCCTCAAGTGAGCTACAATAAATGAAAAAGAACATTCTGAGTTGTTAACTGATGAGTTGATACATTTTGTAAATAAACTCCCTGGCCAAAATAATAAAAAAAAGGCAACCAAATAAAAAAAGGTCACAATAAGCTTTTACAACATTTATTTATAACCATAATTACATTCATGTTTCACCCAGATCTTCCAGTGATGATGGGAGAGTGCGACCACTGCAGTGAGCAGTGAACAGTGGATGGATGGATGGATGGATGGGTGGATGGATGGATGGATGGATGGATGGATGGATGGATGGATGGATGGATGGATGGGTGGGTGGGTGGATGGATGGATGGATGGATGGATGGATGGATGGGTGGGTGGGTGGGTGGATGGGTGGATGGATGGATGGGTGGGTGGGTGGATGGATGGATGGATGGATGGATGGATGGATGGATGGATGGATGGATGGATGGATGGATGGATGGATGGATGGGTGGGTGGGTGGATGGATGGATGGATGGATGGATGGATGGATGGATGGGTGGGTGGGTGGATGGATGGATGGATGGATGGGTGGGTGGGTGGGTGGATGGATGGATGGATGGGTGGATGGATGGATGGATGGATGGGTGGATGGGTAGATGGATGGATGGATGGATGGATGGGTGGATGGAGATGGATGGATGGATGGAGGATGGGTGGGTGGGTGGATGGATGGATGGATGGATGGATGGATGGATGGATGGATGGATGGATGGATGGATGGATGGATGGATGGATGGATGGA